GGTATATCTAAAAATCAATAAAATTAAAGTTTTGGAAATTTTGTGCCGAAAAATTTCTTTGTGAGCAAAAATACTTAAACCCAGTTCTAACTTCAATTAGAATAATTCAACAATTAAAAATAAATATTAATAACTGAACAAGTAAAGCTTACCGTTAGATTTTCATTTGGGTATTTAAGATGTTAACCTTGCTGTCCTTGGATTGCGTTTGAGTATTTCAAATTTTTAAATTTTGTAAAGAATTTATTTCAATTTAATGTTAATTACACTTGCATACATAATCAAAATTAGATCAAACAATTCATAATCCAAATATATACATTAGTAACAATGTGATTCCATTGAGTCGGAAATACTATACGTAATAACTAAATTTTAAGGAAATGCGCTTATTTTAACACTTGCGCTTATCTTAATTTTATTACTAAGCTGCTTGAATCAATTAAATTTCAATATTATTCTTTTTGACGTATAAGTTTTGAATTAAATATGAAAATTTTAAAATTTAATAAATTTAAATGCATCATTTGATATGATGGCATAAGTTTTAATTATAATTCAATTCCAATATGCATAGATATGAAAAGTTATGAGATTATAAATTTGAATTTGAGCAAAATATATTCGTGACAATGAAACAATCATAAAGTATATCGAATGATGCATTCACAAGGAAAAAATTTATAATTACACTTTCACCACAAATGTGGGTGTTGTTATGTGGTATCAATGGTTTTTTGTAAATAAATGATACATGCATGCATTATACGTCCTGAATGTTCAGCATATTTAAATCAATGGAATTATGATCAATCTTGCAACGTAATCTGCAATAATTATATTGATGAAAATTTCATTTAGTACTACCATGATATTGATGAATAAATTACTATGATCTTACAAGTCTGATGTCAAAATAACCTATAGCTTGCCCCATGAATTTAATTTCAAATTTTTTTTTTTAAAACTCATTTTCTTGTGTTATAATCGATAATTCGGAAAAAGTCTCATTTTGGAATATCCTTAATCTGTCCTGTTCTGAAATTTAAAAAGTTATTTATTCTTATCCGACTTCATTCTGCATTTGGAAAATTTGTAAATTCTGTGACAAATTTCTCAAATCGAACTTTAATTCACTCATAAGAACCCCAAATAATTGAATTTTATTTGGCTACATTTTTCTTGAAATATTAATTAATTATAAAAAAATTTACCACCTTCAACAAAATATACATAGATACTTAGAGATGTATGTTTAAACCTGATTCTGTTATAAATAACAATTTATTTAATTAATAAGTTTCAAAATTGATTTTTCGTATAACTGCAATGCGAGGTCAATTTTATTATTTCATTGCGATTGCCAAGTTTGTAAATTTTGCTCTCTTCTGAAGTTTTTAAATCCAATATTAAAAACTCGTAAATTATTAAATAAAAATAAAATTTACCATAAATGCACATAATGGTCGCATGCTGTCTGAAATAATAATTGTATTGTCCAAAAAATTTAATTAAAAAATATTATTTCATATCGGATTTTAATTAAATAAAATGTATTTTAAAAGTAGGGAATGTGTTTTGTCAAAAATGGAAATTCTGTCAAAAAGAGAAATTCATACAAAAATAGTTACTAATAATTTTATAAGAATATTTCGTGTGAACAAAAATATTATTTCCTTTTTTTCCTTTTCCACTCCTATGAGGAGCACAGGGCTAGTGCGTGATGTCCCAAACATCCGGTTGATGGAAATCTCCTTATGTGTAATATATAGGCTTTAGATGAATTGCATCGATTAAGATCTTTGCAAAGACATCATGTATAAATATGAAATACACAAAAACCAAAAAACAGAAAATTTAATAATATTAAAAAAATTTTTTAAAAAACAACCCCCTTGCATCAAATGTACTAAAAAGTAAAAAATAAATTTCGAATATAGGTCCAGCAAAAAGAAAGTAAAATAATTTGATTAAAAAGTTATGTTGAAAGCTGCGTAAAGATTCTTACAAAAATAAGGTTGTGAGAACCGTATAAAATATGTAGACATTTTTTTCTCCTAATCCCTTTATGTTTAAAAATTTTATGTAATAATGCAAAAATCTGATGATAATTTTCATCGATAGTTGGTCGTGTGCACAAGATTGTAAAAATGCCTTTATTTAACATTTAATAATTGGGAATTCGAAGAATTTAAAGAATTTATAAATTATAGCTCAAAAAGTTTTCGATTTCCGAGCTCTTGCACCTCCGAAAAATTTTTTCGTTAATTTTTCTAGCAATCAGTGAAATATTTCATAACTTAAAATTAGACCATTGCAATAATTCGGTTGCTAATATTTGACATACCACAAAACTGGCTCATACCATAATAATGTTAGAGGGTCATAGGATCGAGTCGAAAATAAGATGAAAGAGAGTATGGACCGACAGACATTTTTTCTAAAGATAATTTTTTTTTATATTTCTCTATCACATATAATTTTTAAAAAATCATCATAACCCTTATATCTTATTTTACTAAGAATAACATTTATGTAAGCACTGGTTAGTAAAAATTTGAGAAACATATTAGACCTTTTATAACCGCAGCATATCGCGAAGACTGCATTACATTTAGGTTCATAAATAAATTTTGCTAATCTAATTTATTCATAAACATTGCTAAATTTTCCACCTCTATTGCAAACTATTTAAAATCTACACAGTAGTTAAAAATATTCATCTCAAAGTTTTCAGTTTCTCTGTTTTTTTGCAAGATGACATTTTGAGCTTCATTAGATTTCGCAGTGATTCATTCTTGAATCTCATTGTTTTGTATTTTAAGTATGCTTACATTGCATAATATTATAATCGTACGTTTGTGGACAAAGCTTTCAATTCTGCATCCTTTCATTTTCGATAATAAATAATATGTATTTATCGAATGACAATTTAAACTTTGGTTTTTAATTTGTGACATTTGGACCTTCAGAGTTTCCTTAATATTAATAAATTAACTTTTCGATTTTTAAATATAGTATACTGTTCCTTATAGAACTCTACATTATTTTGTTGTTAATAAAGTCTAATATTAAAAAGTTAATTTTAAAAAATTTTTTGATGAATCCTTAATCAAAATGATTGAATATAAAGTAGGTAACCCTTGTAAATATTTTTATTATTATAGATCATTGACCTTTTCTTAATTGTTCATGATTCACATTATCCTTTTTCAAGAGTTTTCTCAATTTGTCTTCTTTTTTTAAGTTCCCAATTACTTCACATCATGTTATAATTATAATGTATAACTATTATATGTATTCAAATGTACCATATTTTAATTAATATAAAATAATTGTATTCAAACATAATAGACATGAAGTCCTTTTCATATATATTATACAATTTCATTGTTAAAGGATATCGTATATAATATTAATAAAAATTCTAATTGATATAATATGGGCATAAATTTTATTAAAGATTAAACTATATCAATAGACCTATTAATTTATTAAGATAAACAAAATTATATTATAAAACAAAAATCCTTTAAGGAAAATTTATGATAATTTTTAGAAAAGATCCTTTAATGCAAATATGTATTCTATTTATCATAACTTTATCAAAAACTATGTATGTATATGTAAATTATTAAAATTCAAGAAAAGAAAAATTGAGTTCATTAAAAATTTATTCAAAACATTTTACTCTAATTTAGTTTTTGTTAAATGAAAAGAAAAGGATACACAATATGAATTACATATGGGTATTTTATGTTTATTTGGTGATTAAATTTTATTTTATAAAATGAAAAAAAAAACAAAAAATGATAGAAAACCTTATAAGAGGAAAGCTTATGTTATGGTCCTTTTGATATCAAAAAGTCGAATCACATTGAAAAGAAATTTTGTGATGAATTTATAAATTTGTTATGAGAAGATTAAAATTTTTAATTGTAATTTTTACGATAAATTAAAAATTTTCTTGCTTTCTGAAAGTTAACAAAATTGTAAAACTTTTTTTAAAAACTATTATTTTAAGAAATTATTTGTGCTTGCTTAATAGTTTTTGATAAAATTGAAATTATTTAATTATTGTAATAATTTTGAGATAAAAAATAATTGTATTATCATTTAAAATTTTATATAAATTTGAATGTAAAATAGAATTTTGTCTAGAAATTTTAGTTGGTTTTACATTTTCTTTTATTAATTATTAGTAATATTAATTAATTAATCAAAAATAGTCTTTACAATACTTGTACCACGGAACTCAGTTATAAACAAGGAGTTTTCTGTAATTCTTCGGGATTATTTTCCTCTGGCAGTATAGTTTCTTAACAGTAAACGTGACGAATTACCATTTAATATCCTTGTAAATTTTTATATATTAAATTAATAATAGGAACACTCAGAAGACAGTCAGTATGGGCAGCGCCAGATTCACCATATATGCAAAGTATGCATTTACAATACGCGCCAGAAAACAGGGACGCCATTAAAAATTTTGAAAAAGATACACGAACATTTCAAAAGAAATATCTGGAAGTTTAATTCCACGGTTTTAATTCTATGATTAATTTGGCAATCAGCCTTATTATATACGAAAGTTATACCATATTAATTTATTATGCGGAATTTTATTATAACGAGAGCGGAGGGTGGGAGATGCTTTTTTCGGAAACAGTTTAGGACGCCAAACAAGCTAGAACCGGGCCTGAGTATAGGTCAGGCAATATTGATTTTAAAGTTCCATACAAAAAAAAAATTATTCTATACAAAGAAATTGTTTAAACAAAATTGTTTTTGTAAAATCACAACATCTATAAGTCATACAAATCTATTTGCAAGTCTATTTGTCTTCTGAGTTCTTTGCTAGTTTGATTGCCAAATTAATTTACAGTGCTATACAGTAATGACTCATAATCACATACATATAAACATTGCTATTATCTTAAATATTTTTTATCAGTCTATTTAGAAGAAAATTAAATTTTTTTTTAAATTTATATTTTCAGATATCATAAATAATTGTTGAATAAACAACAATTATGCCTATGCACTTTAGTCAATTTGTGATACTCCTTTTTTTGGGTAAGTCTTTATAAAATTATGTTCAATTATATTTTTTCGAAATAAAAATAATCGTTCAATTTCTTTAGAGTACTGCGGTAGTGTATAAATGTTTACTCTTTCGGGAACACTATAACGTTTAATATTATTTGGGTGTGGGCAAATTTATAAATTAACTTTAGAATGTTAACCCTTTTTTTGAAATAATTTGTTTTCTTTGAAATACTTTTGGCGCAGTTTTAAGTTAACTAGAGAAGGGCTTAACGCCTTCTTAGCCATAGCATTCCTCAAAACACTTAAACAGCAAATTAATTATAATACCATAAAAGGATCTGACAAATTCTAATGAACTTTGCAGTAGTGACAAGACAAACTTTAAACTATTCTATTGGTCCTTTTAAGGCTAAATAGAAACACATACAAGAACTTGTTTTAAATAATAAGTCTTAAAGAACTTGTTTCCAAAAATAGCTACATAAATGATTTTAGGGTTTCTACGCACCTCAAACACTGCTGCTCTATTCCTTTTCAGTGGCTTTCATCTCAAAATTACAGGGCTTTTTTGAAAATTCCAGAAATAACATAAGGATCAGCTCGACATGAAACAGAGAAGGAGAAAAGGATAAATAAAGAAAAATATTGTTAAAGCTAGTCGAAAAATTTGCAATGCATTGAAACTAATTTAATTAATTTTACAATTTTTATCCTTTACGTTTGTATCTTCAATACATATTTAACATTCATACCATCGCATACCATATCTGCATTAAAACCATGTTTAAAATAATATGAGACACTATGCAGGTATATTTTTTTTTACTCTGACAAGACCTGACATCTATTTTTAATAAGAAATGTAAAGAATTTTTTTTTAAAAGCTCCTTTATTTGGAGCTTTTATAACTTCAGATTTAGTACTTTTTCAAAATATTCCCACGTAATTACGAAATCTCCAAAATATTTATGAATAAAAGATTCTTCAAAAAAAATCCCAAAAAAATGAAAAATTTCCAGAATTTCCAAAAAGCTTTCTATATCCTTTTTTTAAGCTTTATCAAACTTGAAGTATAAAAATAAAACTTAACCGGAAATTACAACCATTACGATAATCGTATTTATTTTTTTTAGACATCCGCTGTATTCGTCAAATAAAAAAGCTCCCTTTCAATTACCAAAATTTGTTAATATGAAAATAATTTTCGTTTAAATTTAAAATTTTAGATTCTCAGAAACTTGCAAGAAAGTTTTATACTTCGAAGCTTTTTAAAAAATTAAGTAATATGTGTCGAAGCTTAAAAAAACTTTGATGAAAGTAAAAGTTTTGTTAGTTATGGCCCTCTGGTGTAAAATAATGGAAGTTTTACAAATTTTTCTGGAAATCCTTTTTTTTAAGTTCTAGCAGTATTTTGGCGGTCTAATAGCGTTCTTATTTCATAACCGCGAATGAGATGTTCTTAAAGGCCACCAACCGGAAAAAAAAGAAATATTTTAAACAAAATATAAAAATGCAGTATTTATTCTTTTGTACTAAATAATTTTAAGGCTGAAAAAACGTTTCGAATCCATATTTTCCTAATTACATATATTTTATATATTTAGGTACATACATTTTGTTTTAATTATTGTAAATAACTTATAACTTCAATATTACACGTTACAGTAATATCGTAATTGTTACTAAGGTTTGGGTCCGTAATTGTAAGTTTTTTTGTAAGTTAAAAAATTTTGAGAAATGTATTGAAATTTTGTTAATTTGTTCGACTTTTGTTGTCTTTGTAAAACAAGGTAAAAAAGATAATAATGTTCGATTGTGATTAAAGCAAACGATGTAAAGTGAAACATCAAAATAATGGGGCCAAACTTTGTTATAGACTCGAATCATTAGTATCACCATTATTTTAGTGATTTGATTCTCAGGATCTGATCGTCTATCTCGCTATTTTACTCGGCAAATGAGAAAAAGTGAGCAACAATCATAATATATTTGTATAATGTAATTTGAGGATAAGAAGAAACTCAATTAGACTGATTTGAATTTCTTTTTTTTAATTTTTTTTTCGAGCGTATACTGAAAATATAGGCACCTTAGTTTTTTACTAATTTATTTGTACCAATGTATAAACTAAAGTATTTTGTAGTAATGGAACAAAATTCAAGCTCAAAATTTTCAGCTTATGCAAACCCCGTAATAATTATTTACCGGCTAATTGTACGCTTTAAATTTATTATGCAAAATTAAAAAATTTTACTTCTGTACTTAATTAAGTACAGGATTTTCTTCGAAATTTTTTCCCAGTATAATGTACCAAAATATCGTGTATTATCGCTTTAACATGTAATAATTTTTTGATTGAATAATTTCAGTTATTAAATGATCATAAATCGATTTATAGCTACAATGTTTCAAAATATAATATCGTTAACAAATTTTGTACTTCAGGTCCTTTATTATGTACACTACACATGTCTATATTACCATATAAGTATTTCAACTATAAATTTTATTTCCTTATGTAATTATATAGGTATATATTGCATTTAAATACTATTATATAAAAACAATTTTTTGTGTAGTATAAAAGAAGAAAAGTATAACAGAAACAAAATTAAGAATATACTCATGAAGTGAAATAACAAAAATTATACAATGTTATAAACTCGAAAACCTAAAAGTTATTTTTCAAATGATTGACATTAAGAAAAAAGGACACGTAGACGTTAAAAGTAATTCAACTAAGCTTACGTACTTATATTAATGTTTATTAAAATTTATTTATGTTACCTTAAAATTATTACTCTTATCCTGAAGTTTATTACAATAAACTATGTATATCTATATACATAATATAATATAGGATTGAATGTTGTGGAGGAAGAGGCGGGAGGGATATACTACAATACATAATGTAATTCTAACAACTTAGGTAAGTATATTATGAATTATGTACCTGTATGAACACCAAAATAATAGCAATAATAATAAAAATAATAATAAGACGATAAAAATGGCAGTCATTTTGTCGCCATTTTAAGGGTCCTGATTTTTGCATGTGACCAAAAGAAATTTTTCTTCTTTATTTTTTTTTTTTAATTTTTGTTTTTTTTACTGTTATTATTTTATTATGTGTTGTTTGCTTGAATCACGCAATTTTACCAAATAAATATCAATATATTTATAATTATGTAAAATATATACATATTATATAAATATAAATTTATATATAAAATCTATGTACCGATGTACTTGTGTATTACAAAAAAAAATAATTTATTACTTCAAATGAAAGTTTTATGATTCAAAAGTTTAATAAGAGTACCAATATGCTAATTTTATGTTGATTCTTTTATATGCACACACTTTAAGCTCTATACAGATTAACGAACATTAAGCAATTTGCTATACAAATTTTAAATTCTAGAATTTATTTTATTTTTCGTTTAGAAGATCTTAAAATGTTTTTTTGTTTTATTAGTGAGCTTTTGATTATTTGACAATAAAATATTTTATTTAATAAGAGTAAAATTACAACAGAGGCTCTAGTGCATTCATTAAAAATTCGAGTGGTACAGTGGAGGTCTCTATTTTTAAAATTCAAAAATTATTTTGAGGAATGTTCAATCTTTTAAATCTATTAATAGTTAGTATGAATCCAAATGAACTACATTTATTAAATTTGATATCCTTGCTAACAGAAGGAGGGTACACATCAATCTATTTTTTCGCTGACGCCGCATTATCAAAAGAGTCTTACACTACTTACTCACAGTGAAAATTTACTTGCATAATTGGAAATAACAATAAATTTATTTAACTTTCCAGTTTTTATAAAACTAAAAATTTTGACAACGATAATTTTTTTCTCAGTGTACCTTAATAAATGCCTTTCAGGATACCTTAATAACAAAAATCATTGTGTCCTAAGCATAATTCTCTTACAATTGATTTAAATATTTTATACATATTTTATATAAATTTTTATGACAATAAACGAGTCTTTTAAAATACTCGAATAAATTAATGAAAAATCCATATTAATTGTTAATTGTATGCTGCCTGTTTCGATTTAAATTGCATATTAATGATATTCAATTTTTTTCTGAAGTTTAGGATTTTTTAAAATATTCTGGAAAATTAAAAAAAGTTAAAAAGAATAAGTTACCATTGATTCGGTTCACTTTGCGTTGTGATATTACTGGTAGATTCTTATTTTAAATGGACAACATTTCGTTAAAGTTGATCGTTGATTTGCAATTAAAAAAAATTTTCCTAAAATGTAACCAATGCTACAATTATAGAAATAGTTTCTGACTTTGACGTGCTTTATCTCGAAAACTATGGCGCAGATCAAATTGGTTGTAAGGCCAAAAATAAAAAAGTAATCAATAGCCTTTAAAGCAAGCGGAAAAGCAAAAATCTGATACCTTTTTTTTCAACAAGCTTTAGCTCGAAAACTAGTGTATCTGCATTCCCCATCCCCAATCCATAAAATTTTTTGCTGCAAATTGATCAAGGAATTTGAAATTATTTTCTACCTTATTCGAAACACCCTGTATAAATTCTATAATGTTACTAAGTATGATTGTTCATATAATTAAAATTTTTTTCGAATTAATTTCAAACAGATTACTGAAATAAATGGGCTCTTTTTAGGTTGAACTGTATAATATCTTTTGTCTAATTCCATTCTTAGTAACATGAGTGTAATTTAGATTTTTGAAACAACGACAAAGTTTAGTATCGACAGGGTTGTCAAACCACCATCCAAATTTATCTATTACTCGAATTTAGTTTTTGAAAATTTCTTAACTTAATTTTCTATTTTCCATTTAAAACAATGTATAGTTTTGGAAAATCTTTACTAAATTTTGTTGTGCGCCATTTTCTAATATTCATTTATTTATAAAATTTTGTTTACCAGCTAGTTAGATTAAGTAGCAAATAGGATCAAACGCAATATTATTGCAAAACATAATAAAAATTTAGTTTCAGTATTGTATTAAAAAATCCTATATAAAATTAAAAT